TTTTATATGTAAGAAAAAATATGTATTTTACTAATTATAATTAGTAAAAAATTTAAGCGTTGCATTATTTTTGATTGTCACTGTAAATTAATTTTAAAATTTTAATTTTATTAAGAATTTTTAAAATATTATAATAGTATATATAATTAAATTATAATTATACTTTTCAAAAATTTTGATAAATTATTTTAAAAACTTTAAATTTAATAAGTCTTATAATAATTAAATAATATATAGTTAGATTTCTTTATAATTATATTTATTTTTTTAAGTTTTTTAATTATTAATTAATTATAATTAAAAAAATCTTTTTATAATTATATCTCTTTTTAATTATCTAATTTTACTTTTTCAAGTATAGTAACTATAAAGAAATCTAATTTTATAAGAAAATTTTATGTATATATAAACTTGAATTAAAAGAAAAAGTGATAAATTTATTATTAAAAAATATTATTTTTATTATTTTAAATTTTTTAATTAATAATAAATATTATAATTATTATAATCTATAATATTTTATTTATTATAATATTATAATTTAAAACTATTAAAATTATAATTAATTATAATTCAGTAATGCTTATTTATCACAATATTGTAATAATTAAGAGGCTATCTTTATTTTAATAATATTAGTAATTATTAATAAGATTATTATAAGTAACTTTTAATATAAGAAAATTACTAAATTTAATGTAAAAGTTAACAGAATTTATATAGAAGAAATAGCAAATATTATTTAAACACAAATTTAATTGTTCAAATTCGTTTTGTGTCTATTTCTTTATGGAATTCGTAAAATCAATATTCTCATTATTAATTTCTTAGTTCAGATAATCGTCTTATCTTTACTCTTTTTATTTTTATATAAATTCAAAGTTGCTTGCTTTTTTTTGCGCATTACCATCTTTTACTACCTCGTTTTAAAACAATCCAATTTTTAAATAAAGATCCATCCACTTTAAATCTATCAACAAAATGGAGAATGTTATTAATGCTCACAATAATCGCTTATGAGAAATGTATTCTTTCTACCCATTCTTCTCCTCTTCATTCTCATTACAATCATGTTCAAGTACTACTTTAGCGTTGCTGGACATTACATCAGCTTCGATACCATTATTAATGTTAATGAAATCATTTGTCCGTATTGAATTAATCATAGGAAGTCAGTCAATAAGAGATTGAATTTCCGTAATAAGATCTCCCGTAGTAAGATCAATAGCGTTATTAACTTCGTATTCTATTGGTTCTCGAAAGGTTAGGTCAGAATATTCATCTGGAAGAAATACCAGTTTTGATCCAACAATTTCACCGGAAACCCATTTTCATGCTTCAGCGCTAAGATCAATTGCATCTTTAATATTAAATGGTGACATGTCTTCCCCAGTTCCATTGATTCAGCCATACGATTTTCACAGAATAATTCGTGATAATGTGTCTTGAAGCTCTAAATAATACCTGCGTTGCAAGGTTGTAAATATGTTGTCGTGTTAGAAGAAAGGTAATGTACTCTTATATTTGAAGAAACGAAACCTTCTTCAAGAGGCATTGTTCATGAGCAAAATAATACAGTCTTCCTTCCATATAATCACCCTTTTGGTTGCATGCTAAGTTGTGATTGTATGGAGGTGTGATAGTAAAGAAGTTTCCCTCTATATAATCACACATATATGCTGAGTTCATATTGTGATTATATAGAATAAAGTAATTCTTGAGTTCAACAAACAAAATTCTGAATGATCGAAATACTAAACAAACGGCATCCCGAACGAATAAAATCCCGATGGATCCTGAATGAACAAAGTCTAGTGATCCTAATCGGTTAAGCATTAATAAGGTTTAACCGCGGTTGACTGCTTTGCACGGTTTCCAATCGGATACAAAGTCCAAATATGGGTTTGCGTAATAAATATAAGTTCTTAGTAATTGTTACCATTTCAAAGAAATAGCAACTAGTCTAAATATTTCAAATATCACAAACGAATTTATAACGATGAATTGTCTAGCGGGAAGATATTGATAATTTAATAAAAGAATGTAACAAAATTACAAATGATCTTTAATTATTCGAATGGATTACTTTTGAAAGATTTACCAACGTTGAATATCTTGCATTGGGATGGAGGTATTGTAATCGTGGAAAAAATTATAATATGTGTATCATTATAATTCAAAGCAAATTACTTTATGGAGTTTGTGCACGAGATAAAAAATGAATATTTCCTAAAATGAAAGTTACCTTTTGTTTCCGATACAATCAAATTTTTCAAAAGTAGGTATTAAATGCAATATTTATGATGACGATAAAATGAATACTCAATAGCAATAACTTGTACGAAAAATCTCTGTAATTTGAGAATCATTCACGAATCATTAAATAACCTGCCTCAAATTTTGGACTTAGCGTTCCGAACAATAAAGAAATCTAACCAAGAAATTTTGTGCAGTACTTCTTTATATGAGTTCAGAAGTGTTAAATGGAAAGCGATAACGATAAATTAACGCTGCAGATATTCATGGTTTGTAACAGGCAATAATATTTTACATGTATTGGCATCCGAATAAGTTGCGTTATCAGTATTATGACTCTTCAGAATATCGTAAACTAAGATGAAGAAATTAAAAAGAATCATAAACTAAAACAGAAGAAATGGAAAGAACTTAAGATAAAAAACCAAATTCATCCATCCAAATAGAATTTACACAATCAAATGTTTATCACGAAATTTTTCAATTCCAACTACTACTGGTGCAGTAACAAATACTAATCAGATTATTAAGTGTCTGTTTGTTTGTTCCATAGGAAGGCAAAACTATTAATATTAATGTAAATTGCCATTGGCTTCTTTGATTCAGCATCTTTTCTTTGACGGTGGAGAAGGAGGATGTGCCAAGTGACTTGTAGAATAAACCACCAAAAAATTATATATTAACTGGTTAGGATCACTAACGAAATCCCAATGAACAACATACCAAAATTGATAATTTTGGTATACCATGCATTTGGGATGCTATACTTACAGGATTCGTGCATTCAGGATTGCTATTTTCCGGGGATTTTGTTCATTCAGATGCCTCTTGTTCAGTAAATCTATCATTCAATTTTGTCGGATTTAGTTTACTATAGAGTTATTTTATTATACAAAAAATTTTTTGTTTTGCAATAAAATGTGATAGTGATTATAAAATTATTGTGACTTTATAGAAGTATTTTTATTAATAAAGAAAAGGGAACTATAAAATTGATGTGATTATATCGAGTTTGTGATTATGTAGGAGGTGATTATATGGGAGGAAGATTGTAATAAAAATGGCTTCGCCTAAATGCATTAATTTTATCGGAACTATTTTTTTCTTCCTCTCGTTTGAGACCACCCATAAACTTTCAGGTTGAAAAGCAGCCGTAAAATTTGATCCACACAAGAACCGTATATTCCCGACTGTGTTGTGATATTACCTGTCTCATATTTCATGATATAAATAACATTTTGTACCCTTGTTCACAAGTAAGAGAAAGGGGTTGAAACTTCTGGTACGAAAATCCTGCAGCCTATTTATGATTATATTTTTTTATGAAAATCTTCAAATAACGTATTAAAAATATTATCTTTATGAAAATTCTTAGGTTTAATATTATCGTTCTTTTTGTTTTGTATTAGTCTTATATATCCTTTTGTAGCTTAAAAAATGGTTTTATTCAAAATAACATGATATTCATTTCAATACTTGGAACTATCGTCATTCTTTTGGCGATTATAGGCGATGTTCTCGCTTTTAACGATAACCAAAGTGCAGAAATTTACTCGGTGGACTGTTAAGCAATAAAAAGTTTGGACCAGGATTTGGTTTTGCAATAGCAGCTTTGGTATTCATGCTTCTAGCAACATTGTCTTTAAGCTAATCACGTAGAAGCGAGTTAAAATGTAATTCAAAATATTTATCAAATAATTTACGTGCGATCGTATTATGTAAAACACATAGCCTGGAAGAAATAAACTTATTATTTTCGATAAATTAACCATGTAGCACATTCTTGCTTTTTTTCGTAAATTCTTTTTTTAAATTATCTATTTATTCAATATATTTTTCTTCAAATTTCTCTGCCGAATTTTATCTAATGATTTATTCATATATTATATCATAATTTAAGAAATATGTGCTTAAAGCTCTAATTCTTGTCTACAAATCTGCTTTTATATAATTATCTTTAATCCACTAGTGAATTCGATAAAGGTTCGGACCTTGATCCAGAAAAGACATGCAGTATGTTTATCGATTAAAACATTGCTAGAAAAACAATGATCATCAAAATTTATATTCTCGTTAATCTTTTTTTTCTTACTTTTATAATACCGTAAATTCCATGAATAAGCACCTCCTGAAAGTAAGCACCCTGGGCCGCATTATCAGAAAAAGGGGTGCTTATTCACTGGATTTTACGGTATCTATTTCTTCTTTCACATAATAGCACTATCATAAGACTGTTTGAGCTCTGAGTTGACTATATCAAGATTTTAATTACAATATGATGATTTTTAGAGGTCAAAAAGAGAGAGTAGCTTATCTTTGAGATTAAATTTATTAAATTTATATTTTTTTTTCTGATTTTAACTGAAAATGAGAGGATAGCTTATTTTGAGAGTAACTCATTTTCAGAAATTTATGGTATCATGTCTTAAATGATAATGACATTATAAATTATACATATTTTTTATATTATCTTCTCGTTACCTATGTTTAGATAAATATAAATCAAACAAGAAATTTACAAAGAATTCTTTAAAGGAAAGTCATACACAATTTTTGATAATTATAACAGGAGTCATGATATGCCGATACCTCTTGATGTAACATCTATGAAGGAATATGACTTACGATGCTGCAAATTTATTATTGATAAATATGGGGATTTCATTCCGGAAAACAAACAATCATGAATATAATCTTTATTGAAATTTTTTCACAAGACAGATTTTTATCAAGCCTTGAGATTTAATATTGGGAAAAGTAAATTCATCTGACCAAACTATTTTTCTCCAATCAGCTATTGTCTAATTCTTGTACTCTTTTGCGAAAGCAAGTCTCTTAGTTTTATTTTCAGTAGTGATCACTGGTTTTGGGCGTGGCATAGTATAATCATATATCTTCTATCCTTAATTTTTTGAAAAAAGTTGACAAACTTGTGCCAAGTTTTGAATTTTTATCTTTAAGAACAGCATCAGTTTGAAAGAAAAGGCCAATTGTTGCGAAAAAATGTAAACTTTTTAAATCCACTGTAAGTGTCGCAAAAATTACTCTAAATGACATAAAGCTTCGCGAAAGAATTATTCGATATTTATTCACACACCCTATACATATATAATGCGCGTAAGTCCGATTTTATTTATGCAAACATTGAGGGCGAAGTCCGTCAGCACTATCATAATTCGTCTTTATAATTGAAAAAACTATCTCCGGGTTCTTCGATACCCAAAACAATACATGAAATTATATATGTAAATATTTGTCTATCTGGATCATTATTATTCCTGCTGTGGTAGTTAAATATATATTTCCTTACATATCCTAAATTGGATAACACGTCACCCCAGAAAATAGAATTGGTAGTTCCAGAAAGCTCTTCAATGCTATGACTTTGTAATGCGATCCGAACTCGCTCGGCCAATCTTAATACTGAAACAAATAAAAGATATAAATAAATAATAGATAAGTTCACAAGCATGATGGAAGTACTTACGAGCATTTGACGTTCTAGGTATAGATGTAGATGTAGATGGGAGGTTAGGTGTAGGGAGAGAGAGTTCAGTCACACTTTCATAGTAAGAAGATGAGCTTTGTATAAATGATTCAATGACATTCCCAGCGTTAGATAGGCTGGCAAATCGAACAACTGATATTAACCAATAGATCACCAACGCACGGGTTTGAGCAAATGCGTTACGGACATCATCGTATTTGAGATAGTCTACTGCGGCAAGACGGAAATTTTTATTTGTCCCTTTTTTTCCCCCGAAGATTATCCCCTTTGCTTTGTTAATATTCTTATCAAGAAATCGCATATTGATTCTGGAATTCATGATATCCTGTAATCCAGACCATAGGTTGTACTCCTCAATTGTGCTGCACATTCTAGCTTGTACATCAGGACGCGAGCTTCGAAAGTAACTTATGACAATTTGTGCTTCAAAAACGTGATCAGCCTCATAGTTTACGTCATTGATATTAGCAGCTCTAACTTGAATGACCTGGTTTGGCCGACTTTTCTCATATGTATATGCCCACTGGGCTAGTTTGGCGTTTTTCCTATATCCGCTTGTTTTGACTTTGAATTTGTTGAAGCAGAAGGATGAATTACTATCAGGTTGTTTGGCAAAGACCGCAAAGACCCAGAAAAACAGACAAAAAAAATGAAAACGCATTGATATTGTTGATTATCAAGAGATTAACAAGGAGAAATGAGTAGTACCTAATTTTATACGTTACGTGTATATGCATAAAATGCACAAATTCAAACTATAACGAGAATCGAGTGTGACACGAATTAAAAAACAAGTATCACACCAAAAGATAGTGAAACCAATTGATCATTCATTTAAAAAAAAACAAACTTAAAAAAATCCTTATCGATATTAAGCTATTCTTGTTATGCATTTGAAGATATGAGTGCTATCATAAATATCGGCGTTAGCGATAGAGCTTTACCCATTCAACAAACTTTCAACCACACCACTATGAAATCATTCCGGCAATCATCGTACTTCCCACCTATTAATGCTAATTTATCAATTCGCGATAATGAAATCGTTAATGGGATGTCAAAATTTCATTATTACGTATACAATGATATGATACCAGAAATAGAACCATTCCTAAATCAATAGCTTCTAACCACACCACCACCGTGACATTCGTTTCGATAACTCTATATCAGCATAACGTTATAGCATGCATTTGCGTCACAAAAATTTAAGGCTTATATGAATGAATAACCAAAAAGTGAATAATTGAAATTCGAGTATTTTGTATAGATAAATATTAGATCGAGACCTCTGGATCAAATCTTTTAGTTTCTTTGATGATAAAGGATACTACTGTAGTGACAGGTAAACAGGAATCATCGGGTGATCTATTTAGGTCTCATTCACATCTCAGGAAATGCACAACTGTTCGCCATCACATTCCGTGCAGACTTGTATATAACAAGTTTGCCCTGTAATCTTGGATTTCAAATTGCACAACTGATAGAAGTTGATAGTCTTTTTTGGGTTTCATTTATACTTGTGCTTTTATATATATATATATATATGCGTGAAACCTGTAATCAAGGTTCAAACACACATTCTCTTCTAAATCATTCAAAACTAAGGTTTATCATATCTATAATCATTGGATGGATGAAGACATAAAAGAATATACGATGATACCTCACTAAATGAAACCTCAATAAAGCAAGCACTATATAAACTCTCTTAATGCAAGATATGACTTAGTCCCAAACTTAAAAGATCTCTAACTATTTACTTTCTATAAATGTAAACTAACCATAAGTACAAACGTTTTCTTGTTTTTAATGTGTACCAGCGAGTCGTGTTTCACTGTTCTCCAACGGGTCAATTCGAGTGACCAGCATACTCTCTAGTCACGGTTGTATAGAACTAATTAATTTAATTATCCGTAAAACCTTTTTTGGCTGAATGTTATATTATTTATTCTTTATATCAATCTTAACCCATTATCGAAATTCCCATAACAGTGATTTCAGGAGATCTCTATTAGTTTTCGTTCAAAAATAATATAAGACACGTTTTCTCTGTAAGTTTGCTTGCTGATTATTTGAAAAACTAATCCCCCATTTTATGGCATACTCTTTCATAAGTAGTAATAAAAATGATTTTTCCTATTCTCATCGGAACCATTTTTTTCCCCTCTCGTTTGTGTTTCTCTCACCAGTGACTTGGGTACAAGTGTTATTGCATCAGTTTATATTATGAAATATGAAACAGATATCACAACATAGTTGGGGATATACGGTTCTTGTGTGGGGTCAAATTTTATCGATTCTTTTCAACTGAAAGTTTATGGACTTGTACAAAGATATCTCATTAATGGGTTTGAAACTTCTCGTATTGCTATGTATCCTATTGGTAATTATATTTTTTTAATGAAAATTGTCAATAGCGTATACATATAAAAATATTTATTCTTTTGTAACATAGAGAATAGGTTGATTCAAAATATTATAGTAATTGTTTCGATACCTGAATATCTTATCATTCATTTGGGGATATTCTCGTTTTTAAAGATGACTAAATTTATTTACTTGGTGGACTGTCAGGCATTAAAAAGGGTGGTCAGAATTCGGTCTTGCAATTGCAGCTTTGATATTCATGCTCCTAGCAATTTGTCTTTTTTCTGCGCCCACAGAAGAAAGTAAAAGTGTAATTCAAAAATATTCATCAACAGTTTACTTTGTAAATGTGTGATCATACTATGTAAAACACATAGCCTAGTAACATAACTTTATCATTTTCGAGAAAGACGACGCTAATTTTTTAAAACATTAGTAGAAATGCGATAACTACTGTTACAAATGTAACACATTCTTTTTTGTAAATTCTTTGTTTTAAATTATCTAATAATTTTTTAATTAATTTAATCAATATATTTTTCTCTTTACCAAATTTTGTTTAATAATTTATCTAATAGTTTTCTAATAATTTATTCATATTACCATAATTTATGTGATAATTATAATAGAAACTAAAAAAATGTATATAAGGAATAATTACAAAGGATCAAATAAAGTATGCTTAAAGCTCTAATTCTATAATTGCCTTTACTTGTGTACAAATCAACTTTTATATACAGTGACACTCAAAAGTATTCACTGAAATAAAAATTCAAAAGAAGGTAATTTTTAGTGATATAAGTATTACAAATGCTTGAATTTCAGTATAATTTAAATAATAAAATGTCCGAATTTATTACAATCTGGTAATACAATTCTTTTGATCACTTCAACTTGAAATAGGATATATAATATGTATCCAACAACAACAATACTATATATATTTTATATTTAAAAAATATAATTAATATGTATTCTTTTATTTTACACAGTTTATTATGATGTGTCTTTTGTTGAAAGACGAATCCAAATTTATTATTCTTTCTCAAGAAGGATACTCCTTCCATTTTATTACCATATTTCTCAATTCATTATTATTAAAATAAAGTAAAAAAATTATAATATCTTTAAAGATTTATCAAAAATGGACCATTCTAGAATTTTTACTGTCATAATTATATATTTAATTTCAAATGATAATTATTCATTGCAGTTTCCTTTCAAAAAAATTGAAATCTGAAAATAAAATCGATATCTGTATTGGGAGAATTTATTATAAGACTGTTTGAGTTCTAAGTTCACTATATTAAGATCTTAATTATAATAACGAGTTCATTATAACCAAATTAACATGACTAATAACATTAACTAGAAACCATAAATCCTATATTAAAGATAAATTTTAAATATTTTAATAATATAGATTTCGATAAAAATATTAAGACATACATTTTATCAAAGACGGGCATTACAACGTTTTCGTAAGCTAGCTTTCACTTTTCGTATTTGTTTTCCTAACGTAGCTGCACATGATTTATCGTCATCATTCGCATATTTGCGTTGTACCCCAGCAAGAACTTTAGTATATTTGAATATTTTATCATCATTTATTAATCATTCTCAGAAAATGAAATAT